CCTCCATGATTCATGCCAGTGCACCCCATTTTCTGTGGCCGTTCGCCGTTCGCTAAGCCGCTCACCAGCTTAACCTCTGGCCGCGCTCCCAGCGGCCGCAGGTTTTGCCGACCCTTCTTTGGACCGGGTTCCCTGCTAATACGTCTGCGTTCCACATCTGGGGTAGCCTTGCTCACGTTCGTGCCTCTGGCACGGACAAGCTCACTGCCTGCACTGTCCCCTGTGTCTTCCTAGGTTCCCCCCTTGACTCGTTTGACTGGTACATTTACCACCCGCCATCTCACCGCTTCTTTCACTCCTGTGACGCCACTTTAGACGAGTCTGTCTCCTTTACCACGGCTTTCCCCACCAAGGTCTCCCAGTTTCCTCTCCCTTGTTTCTGGTTCCCACTCCCTCGGTAGCCCGTGCTCACCCCCCTCTTCATCCTGCTCCGTCTGGTATGTCTCACGACACTCCCCTCCCGCCGGTTGTCCCGGTCGAGGAGTCGGCTGACTCTGATGACCCCGCGGCGCAATTCTCGCTGCCTGACTCTCCCCCGGTGTCTCCTCCTCCATCGTCGTAGTCGCCACCACAGCAGCTGCCGTAGCCATCGTCGCAGCAGCAGTCGCCACCATCGCAGCAGCAGCGGCCATCCATGGACTCTGGGGGTGCCGGCGTTGACAAGGGTGCTAGTCCTGGGGTTCCTATCGTGGCTTGTCCCGGCAGGCCTGGGGGTGGCACCGGTGCTGGAGAGAGTTCTCACTTTAGGGGTGCTTGTTATGTGGGTGCTGGAGTGGAGTGTTCCGGTGGTAGCCTTGGTGCAGCTAACAGTCCAAGTGTTGGCGTCAAGCAGCAGCAGCAGCAGTCGCCGCCGGGGTCCGCCCTTCGCCTCCTCAACCTTCCCTCCCCTAACCGCTTGCCTGCGCCTCCCCCGCCGCCTCCTCCACTTCCTTTCTACGGCTCTGTGTTCCCTCCACCTGACTCATCTCTGGCTCGTCTTCCCCCTCCTTCCCCTCTTGTGTCTCCTCCTCCGTCTCCGTTTTACGTCTGGTCTTGCCGTCCCTCTCGTGCTCGTCCTGTCTCTCCTGTTCAGCCTTCTCACCCTATCTTGCTTCATTCCCACGCGTCTCATCCTCCCCTCCTTCCGTCTCCTCCTCTTTTGTCGCTCGCTATCGCGCCTCCCCCTCTGTCTGACTACCTTCGTGCCGCTCGTCCTCTTGTTCCTTGGGTCCTTGCCTCACTCGTTACTGACCCGCCTATTCCTATGTCGAATGTTCATGCTCTTGTCGCTGCTTTCGCTGACTTTGCCTCTACCCACGCCTTGACTACGCCACTCTTCTGGTCTCTGGCCCTGTCTATCCTCGTTACAGGCTCCCCGTGAGTGGCACGACACACTGCGTGCTACGCTAGCTGACCTGCAGTTCTTTCCGTCCTCTGCAGGCCCCTCGCTCTTCGTTTGTGCTGGCCAGACTCTGTTCTACATCCTTGTCTACGTAGACCACCTGGTCTTTGCTACTGCAGACAGAGACGCACTGACCCCCGTGAAGGCCAAGCTGCTGAGGAGACACACCTGCACTGACCTAGGAGAGCTGCGCCGCTACCTTGGCCTGCAGATCTCCAGGGACAGAGCAGCGCGCACCATCACTCTCACATAGTCACACTTGGTGCGTCAGGTCGTTCAGAGGTTCGGTCTTCAGTTCTCCTCCGCACAGCCCACATCTCTGCCTTTAGACCACAGGCTCTCAGCTCCAGTTCCTGAGCAGTCAGTAGAGCCCAGTGGTCCTTACGCAGAGCTGATGGGTTGCCTCATGTACCTGATGACTTGCACTCGTCCAGATCTTGCAAACCCTTTCAGCATCCTGGCTCGCTTTGTGGCCACAGGCCGACATCGACCACAGCACTGGTCGGCCGCTAAGAGGGTTTTGCGTTATTTAGCAAGTACATCGGGCATGGGGCTGGTGCTGAGAGGACGCAGGCCAGTGGTCCTTACTGGGCACACAGACGCTTCGTAGGCAGACGACGCTGAGACCCTCAGGTCCTCCCAGAGCTACGACTAGCCTTGGTTTGGGTGTCATCTCGTGGAGGTGCACTCGCTCCTCGTCTATTGCCCAGTCTAGCTGTGAGGCTGAGATCTACGCCGGTGCCATGGCGGCATTGGAGCTCCGCTGGCTGACCTTCTTGCTCACCGGCTTAGGTGAGCGGCCTAGCTCTACCCCGGTTCTGTACGCTGACAACAGGGCCATGATCCTCATGTGTCAGGAGCCTCGACTTGAGGGCAGAGCAAAGCACATCCAGCTGCGGTACTTCTTCCTGCGCGAGCTACAGCAGCGTCGCCAGGCCCGCGTAGTACACCTGGCCTGCAATGCCAACATAGCTGATTTCCTTACTAAGGCGCTTGCGCCTAAAGATCATCAGCGGCAAAGTTTGCAGCTTGGTCTAGTTCCTGCAGCTACTCACTTGCTAGGACCTTGATTGTGTACTCCTCTTTATATATATCTTTCAGACTGGCCTTGTGGCTTCGCCTCCAGTGGTCGGACTAGTAGTGCTGCCCTGGTTTGCTCTCTTCTTGCTTGTACTCTTCCTGACTGGTCTTCGGACCCCTGTCTCAGAGTTTGGACTAGTAGTGCCACCCTAAGTTGCATGTTTCTTGCTCAGCACTGCCTCTTATCTAGCCTAGGTGGTGTGTCAACTTATATATAGATCATTGTATGTAGAAGTTATAGGCTAGATAGGTTTGAATTCTTAGAGAGTACAACTCCAGCCCTGTATCTCCCCTGTACTCTCTTCTTTCTAATCATTCTCGTATTCTAATAACACATACACATACACATACAAACACACATATTCACACACATATGCATGTGTGCATATACACACACATAATACACTACACAATGGGAATTCACAACTGGACCAATTTTTAGTGGTTGTTTTGCTGCAGACATCATATAGAGGGATCCACTAAAGCAAACAAGAAAGAATAGTTACCTGCAATGGCAAAGAACAGCAATCTGTAACATGTTACCGGTTTATTCGTGTGTGCAAGGAATTTCCATTCCTTACTGAGTCGTACATTAGCGCGTACACCCGAACCCCTCGACTCGTCACGTTCGTCCTCATTTGTGAGCCTAACCCTTTCCCACTGTCGCCACATTGCCGAACCTACCCACGTTTCGAGGTTATCGCCCTAGCATGCCAAATCCTATATAACCTCGTGCCTTCATTGCAGTAGCAACCTTGTATTCTCATGTTATATTTCATTGACAATTCCTATATCATAACAGCTGGTATCAGAGCCCGACCTTTCCAGGAACCTTCTGTTTTCCCGTCTACTTAGTTAAGGGTGGTCAGAGGGGATTAGCACGGCTGCACAGCAGTTGTCTTGCATCATAAATATGTTTACGTCAACAACTACAGCGTGTGCGCTAGCTTCTGCCCCGTCCTGACCGCTATGGCCCTGGCAGACTCGACGGTTGAGGGACAGTCCACCTCGACTCCTGCGAACCCTGCCCAGGAAACTGTGGACCTGCAAACATTAATGGAGCAGGTGAAGAATTTGACAAGCGTCGTCAACAACCTCCGCGACGAGAACCAGCGACTTTGCCAGGCGCAGGAGAGGCGTCCAGAGGAGCCGGGCGACGTTGCACAAAGCGAGGCGGGTGAGCAGCAACCATCGCCAGTGGAGACGGCACGACTAGCAGCAATAGCCCCGTGCTCGACAAGTGGCGGCGTAAGATATTAGCAACCCGCTCCTTTCGACCCAGCTAATAAACGCGTGACAGTGCGGCAGTGGGTATTCACCATGAACATCTATTTTAACGCGGCGGGCATCAGAGACGATCAGAAGCGGATCAGCCACGCGTTAACACTGTCGCAAGGGGCTGCCTTAGAGTGGTGGAAGGTCATCGTCGACTCAGTGGCAACTTGCACAGAAGGACAGCACGAGTGGTCCGAAGAATTTGGAGACGAAGACGAGGCAGATCTGTTGTTCGGAGCGACCCATATTCGCACGTGGGCAACGTCATGCATAGAGCTTTGCAAGCGGTTTGAGCATGCACCTGACTCAGACAAGGCACGCAAAAATCTACGCATGTGGAAGCAGCTGGGATCTGTTTTTTAGTACACCGCGTCGTTCCTAACGTTGGTGGACAGATGTGGCTACATGCACGAGTTGGAGAAGGTCGACAGGTGCATGGGCGACTTGAAGCCTGAAATACAGTACCAGATAATACTGCAACGCCCTGCAAAGCGGTTACAAGACTACATCCAGCTCGCCAAAGCCGCTGATTTGATCACGAAGCCAAGGACGAACTTCTACGACGGAGGTCGCCCTCGAGAACAGTACCAGCATGCCACGATAAACGGGGTGGATGTAGTGGATATTTATGCAGTTGCTCCGCGAAATACGGGGCTATGCTATCACTGTGGCCGGCCGGGTCAAATCCGACGCAATTGCCAAGGATTCATAGCCCTCCATAATTCTATGGGGAAGAAGCTGGAGGAGCGACTGGGAAATGGGTCGCGTCAGAAAGCACCGGGCCCCTTACTGACGGGCAGGCTTCTTCGCCCGAACCACACAGTCCCCACAGGGTCGTGATCCTGATTGCTGCAATCGACCGGACCCGGACGAATAAGGGGGACGAAACTGCTTATCACCCTGTGTTGGTGGAGGGTAAAGTCAACGGGGTGTTATTGAAGATCTTCGTTGATGGAGGCGCGAGTCACTGTCTCATACAACTAGACAGGGCTAAAAAATTGGGTATACCCTTACTCAAGTATCTACCTGAGATCGACGCCCGACTGGTGGACGAAACACTGCTGGCAATACGGGAACGGGTGGAGAACGTTAGTTCTACCTGTGGGGAACATGTAAAATTTCAGATGGGACTACTGGCGACTACTCTCGATGGATGCAATGTGCTGCTGGGACATGATTGGTTGCGACCGAATCTCCATCAAGTCGCGTCACCCGATCCCGCGAGCCGACAAACTTCTCGACCAACTTCGCGGCGTGAAGTTTTTCTCGAAAATGGATTCGCGAGGAGGCTACCATCAGATTCGAGTCGCCACCGACGATTGTCACAAGACGACATTCCGAACCCGATACGGCAGCTACGAGTACCTGGTGATGCTTTTTGGCCTCACGAACGCGCCCTCGACCTTCCAAATGACCATGAATGGAATTTTCAGAGAACTCTTGGACAAATGCGTCATCATCTACCTCGACGATATATTAATCTACAGCCGTAGCAGGGAGCAGCACTTAAAGGATCTTGATGCAGTCTTCACGCTGCTGCACAAGAATCGCCTCATCACCAAAGGGTCTAAGAGCGACTTTCTTTATTAGGAGTTGGAATTTATGGGCCATATGGTCTCTACCGAAGGAGTAAAAATCGACCCCAAGAAAACCAAGCAACATCAAGGAACTGCAGGGTTTTCTTGGTTTCATCAATTACATCCACCGGTTTATACCCAATATGGCTGGGTTATCTGCCCCGCTAACTGACTGACTCAAGGATCACGATTGTTTTTGGTGGGGAGAGAAGCAGCAAGCTGCATTTGACCAACTGAAAATCGCGCTCACGTCGCCGCCTGTCCTTCGCATCGCCGATCTTGACCGTCCATATGAAGTCATCATCGATACTAGCAACATCGCCATCGACGCAGTACTTCTACAGGATTTTGGCGAAGGATTATAGCCTTTCGCCAACGAATCACAAAAGCTACAGGGCGCAAAGAAAAATCATGCGTTACACAACAAGGAAATGTTGGCGATCGTCCACGCATTCAAATCCTGGCGGTGCTAACTGACATGAGCTAACGTCACTGTGTGGACTTACCACAATTCTCTCCAGTACCTGCGAGCCCAGCCGAATCTCAACCCACGACAAATCCGATGGCTCGATTTCCTCGAGTCAAACTTCTACTACACCATCACCTACAAGCGGGGTGCCAACAACATTGCTGATGCACTGACCTGACTCACTGCTCATACAGCCGCCATACTAGTCGCCCAGACCAGCCCACTCCTTACCAGACTATTTACCAACGGCTTTAAGATCGATCGACCCATTCTTCCGCTTCGCCATTCACCAACAGCATACTACCGCCACCGGAGATTACTTCAATAAACGCGACACTACCCGCATCTGGGTTCCCGGCTACGATTTACTTCGTACCCTCCTAATCGAGGAATCCCACGACAATCCTACCTCCGAGCATTTCGGAGTCGACAAAACTATGAAGACGTTGCAGCGCAATTATTATTGGCCGAACATGGCAGACGACGTGCGCAAGTACGTCTCCTCCTGCACCGCCTGCCAGATCATGAAATCGTCCCATCAGCGAGCAGCCAGACTCCTACAGTCGTTGGATCTGCCCGAGAGACCCTGGCAACACGTTATGATGGACTACATGACAGGACTGCCGGTCGGTCCCAGCGGAAACGACTCCATTCTCTGGTCGTTGACCGACTTACAAAAATGGCGCACTTCGTCACCTGCCAACAGAAAATTACATCCGAGCAAACCACCCAACTGTTCATCGCCAATGTCATCAGGCTGCACGAACTACCCACCGCCATTATTTCAGACCGAGACCTGAAATTCACATCGAATTTCTGGCGCCACCTATGGGACCAATTCGGCACCAAACTACAGTTTCCTCCGCCTACCACCCATAGACTGACGGGCAGACTGAACGAGTCAACCAAACTATAGAGCAACGCATTCGGACTACCTGCACTGACCCACAGACATGGGAGAAATCCCTCCCGCTGCTGGAATTCACGTATAATAACGCGCCTTCCGCAACAACACATCAATCCCCATTTTTCCTCAATCACGGACAGGACCCAGTGGTACCCTCTACACCAAACATCGAGACACCCGTGCCCCGGTCCCAGCGATTTGCCGAAGACATACTCGCAGCCCGTGAAAAAGCAGCTGAGGCAATCCGGAAAGCCAACCTGGCCGCAAGCCGACAAGTAGATCGTCATCGACGTGACGTCACCTACAAAGTGGGAGATCTCGTACTACTCGACACTCGCAACTTGCGCATGCCGATCCCGAGCAAAATCTGACCCTGCTTCTATGGCCCTTTTCAAGTGACCAATATGGTGACACCGGTCACAGCTCACCTTCGACTCCCTGCTGATTGGCATCACCACCCAGCTTTCCACATCAGCCTCCTACGACCCTACGTCCCAAGTTCGTCGGATTTGGCACGTCAACGCCACGTCCCGTAGCTGACGCCCCTGCAAGAACCGACGACCGAGCCTCTGAAATTTCTCGGCCATCGCGTCACCACGTAGCAGAATCGCTGCATGGTGGATTTCCTCGTCAGATGGCGCGATCGGACGTCTGAGGATGACAGTTGGGTGCCCCTCGTTGATGTAGAATCACACCCGATTCTAACAACGTATTATCAGCGTCAGAATGTTTCCGATGCCCGCGGCCTCGTTTGAGGGGGGGGGGGGGAGTAGTGTAAGGAATTTCCATTCCTTATTGAGTCGTACGTTAGCGCGCACACCCCGAACTCCTCGACTCGTCATGTTCGGCCTCATTTGTCGGCCCAACCCTTCCCCGCGTCGCGTCCGGCACTGTCGCCACATTGCGAAACCTACCCACGTTCCGAGGTTATCGCCCTAGCACGCCAACCCCTATATTACCTCGTGCCTTCATTGCAATAGTGACCTTGTATTCTCACGTTATATTTCATTGACACTTCCTATATCATAACAGTGTGTAGCAAAAGCGCGTTTGAACAACTTCAAGGATGGGCCCTAGTATTTTTTTGTTGGTGAGAATCCAGCAGTCTTCTGGACATTGAAATTCGTGGTCCGCACGGCATGGTTGAGGCACACACATGATCGCACCGTCCAACTCAATGAGAACTTTTACCTTTAGCCCTACGATCTGGCGGGAAATCTGATGTCTTCCCTGGACTGTGACCGTCAAGCGACCATCCCGAGATGAATCGAACGAACCGACGATCTCAAGGCCACCAATTGCCATTCAGTGGAGGTTGCGGCAGCAAAAAGTGGTACTGTAACAGAGTCCAAGCCTCCAAGGGCAAGTGAGGGAGGTGGGTCTGGCGACTCGGGGGAGAATCCAGGCGAGAGGAATTCCTGAGACCGCTGTGCAGAGCAGGGGGGGCAGGGGGGGGAGGGACACTTTGACTGTTGCGCGGGGCTCTTCGCTTTTCCATTCACTCCTCACCTCACCCATCCTCTCCTTTCGGGCAGGCTTTCTGCTGGGCCAACCTCCTTGGCCCAGAGTACCAGACGCCCATACATCCTTCTTCCTCAGGCCCTCGTGTTCCCCGTTCTAAGGAAAAGAGCAATCTACGTGAAGTAGCTGATCAGTAAATTGCCCCCTCACGTTACGTCATGCGACTCAAGCGTCGCTTTCTCTGACGTTTCGCACATCAGCAGCGAGGGACGGGGTGCCGGCAACAGGAACGCTATAAGCAGGCTCAGCAACACCAGCAGCAGCAGCAGCAGCAGCAGCAGCAGCAGCAGCAGCAAGGCAGAGTGCCATAGTGCAGACTGTAGGAATACAGTAATTGAATGCAGGAATATAGACAGTATTTTCTTGGGCCTCAGTGGCCATGTAAGGCTGTTTGATTAGGCTCTGAATCGCGCAAACCTGCTCCTGAAGCGGTGATTTCTCCCCAGGTTTCCCGCAGCAATTACAGCCCAGGAATAGTACAGTCTGTTTCCGCATCAGCTGATTGAAATCTGGTCAGATTCGCCTCTCCTGATCGTGAATTCCGGGCGACATGTTGTTTTCTAGCATCGACGTGGCGGACGCGAGCTTAGCGAATCACTTCACGCAAGCCGAGCTCCGAAAGCTCAAATCTCAGGTGCTGCTCGTGCCATTTCCAACCCGTCGTTCCTTTCGCACGAAGCCCTTCTTCGGGTCCTGATCTGCCGCCGATCTGTACTCCTTGTCAGACTGGTCGTTCCTAGGTCATTGATCAAATTTCAGCTGTTTGGTTTCCAAAATTCCGTGTCAGGTCAGGGCCAAATTCACGTCGAGGTTTCCACTCAAGAACGAAGTCAAGAATCTCGCTGAAATTCGTACGATACACCCGAGTCATTACGCTCCAACGACTTCGATTTCTCACAGAACCCTCTTCCCCTTTCACGCCGTTCTCGCGTGTCCCTCCCGCGTCGTTCCCCGTGCATTCTTTTCTTGGTCAGTTCGATGGCGCGTCTCCCTCGCCGGGGACCCCCCTGACGCCGGCCAGCATACGGGCGAATTCCGTCCGCCTGGGCTTCTCGACGCCGCTGAGCGAGCCCGACGCCGATCGCGTGATCGCGGAATTCGGCAGCAAGGAGAAAGGCAAGGACACGGAGAAGGGCGTGCTCACGTTCGAGGGCTACCTTCGCGTGAGTTCCCTAGTTAATTTTGAGGCCTCGATTCCGTATTGAGGTCACGGGTAGACATCCCCGGTAGACCTTTCGACTAATTGGCTTTTCTTCCTGAGGCCTCTCAACGCTACGTTGTTCTGCCTTCCGCTCCCGTCTTTCTTCCCTCATTGTTCACTCTCCTCTCACTTTTCTTGACCTTGTTTCTGTGGCGCGTTCCCTTGCTTCCTCTACCCTCTCCCTCTCGTCCCTCCCCCCCATCCCCCCACCTCCCCCTTTGCTTCCCCGGCCCCCCTCCCCCCTCTACTATCACCCGTCCTCCGCCCCCCCGGTCAGCTGCAAGCGGACATCGACAAGGGCACCTCCTACTTCTCCCCGCTCAGCAAGCCGCGCAACTCCGCAGCCAAGGAGTTTATGCGCTCGCCAGTCACGTCTACAGTGCACGTCATTAACGAATCCGAGAAGCGCGCCTATATCGAGCATATCAATGCGAACATGGCGGAGGACGAGCACGTGGCGTCGCTGCTGCCGATCGCCCCTGAGGGCGGGGACTTGCTGGATAAAGTGCAGTCGGGCGTGCTGCTATGGTGAGAAACCTGCAGTCAGGCGTGGCGTGCTGTTCAGGTAAACAGTGTGCAGATTCGTGCAGCGTGCAGATTCGTGCAGCGTGCAGATTCCCTCCCGTCTCCTTTTCCACTAGTCTTCATTCTTCGTCCCCTACCCCTTCCCCCATTTCCTTTCCCCCCATCCCCCCCGCCAGCAAGTGGTGAACTTAGCAGTGCTGGGCACCATAGACGTGTGCGCCATCAACGGCAAGGCGCAGCTGAACGCGTGGCAGCGCTTTCACTCTTTCCCACCTCACTCTTCCCCCCCTCCCCACTTTTTCCACTCCCTCTCCCCCCCCGCTCCCCCTCCCCCTCTCCCCCCCCCCCGCCAGCAAGCTGGTGAACCTAGCAGCGCCGGGCACCATAGACGTGCGCGCCATCAACAGCAAGGCGCAGTTGAACGCGTGGCAGCGCAGCGAGAACCACACGCTCGCGCTCAACTCCGCACGTGCTCTGGGGTGCCAGGTGGTCAACATCAGCGGGCAGGACATTGCCGAGCGCAGGGTGAGTGCGCAGGGAGAGGGGAGAGGGGAGAGGGGAGAGGGGAGAGGGGAGGGGGGAGGGGGGGAGAGAGAGAGGCGGTAGTTTGAGAGAGAGAATCACTTGGAGCAGGAATTACAGTGGTGAAGGGAAGGTAGTGGGTGGCTGTCTGATGCTTGTCTCACGCTCGCACTCAACTCTGCACGTGCTCTGGGGTGCCAGATGGTCAACATTAGCCGCCAGGACATTGCAGCGCATGGGCGAGAAGGAGGGGAGGAAGGGGTGAACAACAGGATAAGGGGAAAAGGTAGCAGGCGGATCTCTCATGCTGCCTCCGCTTCTGGAAAGACCTCATACACTCCTGCCTTGCCCAACAACTGTTTTGTTTTTTGCTTGTTCTCCCCTTGACGTTATCGTGGCAGGAGCACCTACTACTGGGCCTCATCGCACAAATAATAAAGGTACGTCCGTGATAGCAGTAAAATCTGCGTGTAACGAATCTGGGCTTGGCCCTCTTTTCTCTCGTGCATGCATGCAACGCCCTCTCATGCCCTCATCCCTCTGTCTAGCGCTCAGGCACCTCCACACTGTGCATGGACTAGACAACTACTGTCTCGCTGGCGTAACTGTGGTGTTGTGATTCGTGGTAAACCACTGCCTCGCCATAAGTTTTCTGCGCCCTCTCATCCTCCCTCCCCTCCCCCCTCTCCCGGCCCACACTTCCCTCCCTCCCTCTCGCTCGTGCACCTGTCTCGGCCTCAGGTTCACCTGCTGTCATTCATCAGCGTGTCTGCTGCTCCTGAGCTGGTGGACGAGCTCGAGAAAGAGGTGAGCTGCTGCTTCTACTTTTTGCTGCTGCTTTCTGCTGGTGCTTCTCGCTGGTGCTTTTTGCTGCTGCTTTTTGCTGCTGCTGGTCGTCGCACGTCTACATCCAGTCCTCTGTGTGTGTGCGATGCCCGGTAGCTCTCAGCTGTATGCATAGCTGTAGCCTGCACGAGTGAAGGGATGAGTCGAGCCGGCAGTTGCGGCTGTAGCCTGTGTCTAAATCCTTTCTTCACTCCAAGTCCTGTACTGACAGCTCCTCCCCCTTTCTCCTCCCCCTCTCTCCTTCCCCATCTCCGAACCCCTGCCTCGCCCTGTCAGTCAGGGGAGGACGTGCGGCATGAGTCGAGCGAGCAGCTTCTTCTCCGGTGGATGAACCTGCACCTCAAGAAGGCCGGCTACAGCAAAGAGGTCGCCAACTTCAGCCATGACATCAAGGACGGCGAGGCGTACACTCTCCTGCTCAACCAGCTCGCCCCCGACGCGTGCGACCTGTCGCCGCTGCAGTACGCAGCGGGGCTGGAGCGTGCGCAGCAGGTGCTGAAGCAGGCGGACCGCATCGGGTGCTGCAAGTACGTTCAGGCACAGGACATTGTGGACGGGTCCACGAACCTGAACCTGGCCTTCGTCGCGAATCTCTTCCACATGAGGTGCGTGTTTTGGGGGGGGTGGGGGGTCTCTTCTGAAGCAGGCGGACTGCATCGGGTGCTGCAAGTACGTGCAGGCGCAGGATATTGTGGACGGGTCTACGAATCTGAACCTTGCTTTTGTCGCCAACCTCTTCGACATGAGGTGTGTGTGTGTGTGTGCGAGGGGTGGGGGGATGTTTGCAAGGCGGGAGATGGGGGGTGTGTGTCTCTGTGTCGTGTTGGTCTGAACGAAGACTCTTGAGGTGGCTGATTTACTCCTTACAGAAGGAGTGTGCTCTTGAACTGTGCCCTACCACAGGGAGCAATACGGATGGCCGCACACCCACGTCTCCCTTGTCCCCTGTTCTCATGCGCACACTCAAGGCAGAGGAGGAGAGAAAAGAAGAGGACAAGCCGGGACCATTGATAGGTGCAGGTCGGTCCCCAGCGGTGGTGTAGCAGGCGGTGCTGGAGGTGGACCGCAGCCTGGACAGCGACGAGGAGCGCGTGTACCGCTTCTGGATGGGATGCTTCCCCACCCCCCTCTCATCCTTTTTGAGTCGACTCAAAAATCACCCATGGGATGCTCTCCCATCGCCCTCTCGTTCCACTGCAGTTCTGACACTTGTGCAGCCGCCACCACCTCTCACACCCATGCTCTTGGCCTTCCCCTGCCCCCGTGTTCCCAGGCACACACTGAAGGCTCAAGAGGAGAGTAAAGAAGAGGACACGCCTGGTGTCGTCATAGGTGCAGGTCGGTCCCCGGTGGTGCAGCAGGCGGAGCTGGAGGTGGACCGCAGCCTGGACAGCGATGAGGAGCGCGTGTACCGCTTCTGGATCAACAGCGTGGGCGTCTCCAAGCCCGTCAACGACCTCTTCAGCGACGTGCGCGACGGGTATGGCACATGCTTCTTCTTTGGCGGGGGGGGAGGAAAGTGGGGGAGAGGAAAAAGGGCGGGGGAGATGGAAGGAGGGCGTGTGGGGCCTGAGGTGTAATGTCAGGCTGCATCCTTTTTCTCAATCCCTTCAAACCCCTAAACATTCCTCTCTACCCCTTCCCACCCTAATCCCCCGAAATCCCTGGAACCTCCCTCTGGAGTAGCATTGTGCTGCTGGAGGTGATGGACAAGATCCGCCCGGGGTGCGTGGAGTGGAAGACAGTGGCGCGGCCCACAGGCGCGCAGCAGCACCTGCGGGCGGTCTACAAGAAGATCGAGAACTGCGAGCAGGTGCTCCGCGTGGGGCGGAAGCTCAAACTAAACATCGTCGGCACGGGCGGGAACGACATAGTCTCTGGGAACAAGAAGCTGATTCTGGGGTTCCTGTGGCAGCTGATGCACCTGCACATGGTGTCTCTGCTGCAGCACCTCAGGCATAGTCATGAGCTGAGCGACACGGACATCCTGCAGTGGGCCAATGAGAGGGTGGAGAAGGCAAAACGCTCGTCCCGCATGCAAGGCTTCAAGGTATGCGGGAAGGCAGAGAGCAGGGTTCTTGCTTCTTACCCCGCGATATCCCTTCCCCTCCACTTCCTTCCTTTCCCCGTCTCCTCTCCTCCCTCCCTATACCCTCTCTCTGGCCCAATCCTATCCTTGGCTTTTCGCTTTCTCTTACTTCCATTCATCGGGCACAGTCAGCATGCATTCAGCTGAATCGGCTTGCCCTGCCCCATATGCCTCATCACTGCACTTTTACTCCCCCCCCCCCCCCCCCCCTCCCCCCCCCTCCTCTCCCCCCCCTTTCTGCCCTCATCACTGCGCTCCTCCTCCCCTTTTCCTCCCACTTCCCTTCCCCAACCCCCCTCCCTGAACTTGTTATTGCTGTGGGCCGTGCCAGGACTCGAGCCTGTCGTCGGGGCTGTTCTTCCTGGACCTCATGTTCGCTGTCGAGCCGAGAGTCGTCAACTGGGAGATCGTCACCCGCGGTGCCACTGGTGGGTGCTGCCGCCCTCGCTGCCACCATGCCACTGTGCCTTCCTCCCCGTGTTTGGCTTGCCTCAGCTGCCTGTGTTCGTGTTTCACTCTGGATATGCTGCTTGAACGAGCGTCCTCGTGCCACCTTCTGCTACTCTACCAAACTCTGCTATCACGGCTGCATCACGGTGATCCGCCTGTCAGTGTCAGCCTCGCCCTCAAAGCACCCCTTTTACTCCTCTTTTATCCCCCCCCCCCTCCCCCCCCCCCCGGCCCTCCCCCGCCCCCACCTTACATGTGTCAGAGGACGACAAGCTGCAGAATGCGCACTACGTGATCAGCGTGGCACGGAAGCTGGGGTGCTCGGTGTTCCTCGTGCCCAATGACATTGTCAAGGTGCGTGCAGAGGGGGTGTTATGGGGCATGCCCCCTTTGCCCTTGGTGCAAAGATTTTTATGCACCGCTTACCCAGTTGCAGCAACAAAATTCACGCCTTTTTACCAATCCCTCTTCCCCTTCTATCCCCATGACGTTCCTCTGCCCCCCTCCTGTGCGTCTCTCCTCTGCAGTATGATTCTCATACTCTTCACATCGATCATGGCCTTCCTTGTACATACATGCCCTTCATCCCACCACTCCTTCCCCTTCTACCTCCGTTCCTCATCCCTCCTGTGCTTCTCTCCCCTCTCCCCAGGTGCGCCCCAAGATGATTCTCATGCTCACGGCGTCCATCATGGCCTTCTACCTGCAGTTCAAGGAGGAGAAAGACCAGGCCCTCAGAGACTCCCTCGACTCTGGCACCACCATCCCCTCCTTTGCTGCATCCAGCTCCCTCACCTCGTCAGATGCCGCCATGCCTGTGGCCCGGCTTGAGTTTGAGGAGTTCACAGATACGCCTGGGAAGGGCAGGTCTGTTTCGCCTCTGCCGGCGGGCTCTGCAGGGCAAAGTGGCGTGAGTGTGGCGGAGAATGGTTCGAGTGGGAGCGTTATGTCAATCAAGCAGCGCAAGGCGGAGTTGTTTGCGAGAAGCGTGTCGCCTATGCCGATGAAGCCGCTCAGTCCCGCAGTTACCAGGTAGCATACGTCTTTTACTATGATAGAAGTGCACCTGTGCTTGGTATAAGTTGTGTTATATAGTACCATATTGCCTAGTTGCTTCTTGTTTGTTTTTGCAGCTGCAATGTAATCTTCACCGAACATAAGTGCGTAACACCTCGAGACACTAGCGAGGGAGGGGACTTCAGCAGCGGGGAAAACAGCCCGCAGCAAAAACGCAGCGGGAGCAATCCGTCAACCAGGCGAAAACAGTCGGCCGTCAGCTGCGAATGTTCATGTGACAACACCAAACCAAACCAAACCGTGCCTTCTATGCAGGGATGCAAGCCCGCGACATTCATTCTCAGGGAGTGTTTCTACGAGACACAATGTCACACGACTTCGAGTCAAAGTTCTGTTTACGGGCAAATTTGACGGCCAGAATCCCTAAATAACACGATTTAACCTGACATAGCGTCTCTTTGAAACACTTCCTCACCTCTTTGTGCCCGCCCGTAACTGAACACTGACCATCCATTTTCCTCTCGTGCTGCCCTCATCCTCGTTTCGCCAATGGTGACTCCTCATGGAGAGGATTTGTGACCAACGAAGGCGCTCATGTTGTGGTTCCGTTGTGACCTTCTGGACAAATCAAAATCTTGCGTTGTCACGACCAGCCGCCAAGATGCCCAGGTTTTGGGGCTTGTGGCTGGAACAATTCAGTTCCTTTTTTTTTTGGGTTGCGTAGCAACCCTATAAAATCGGTTTCACATTTCGGAGCATTGATACGAACAGTAAAAATTTTAAGAATTTAGTTAACTGTTCGGTGCAACTCCAAAATATGAATCCAAATGTCCAAAGTGCTCCATCGCGTCGATAAGTACGGCGGATGGAACAATCAGACCGCATGACACATTTCAACAAAAATTTATGTATAATTAAACATACTGTAGGCTTGCAAATGCCAAGAAACGAGTGCATGTAGGCATTAGTAGTGTTGCAGTAGAGATTGATGGGGTGCACGATGACAGCGGAGCTGCCCCGGACACGATGACAATCTCTAATTGCAACACCTAGCCTATAAGTAGCACGCTCGAGGCAAACACAATCCAAATACACCTCGTGCTAGCCACCCGATCTCGTCGTTAAATATGGTGGTCGGAATGAACATGTACCTATGTACGATAGGATTGTGAGTGCTACGAAACGATTGCATATATGCGTCAATGTTGCAACAGAGATTGATGGGGTGCGCGATGACAACAGAGTTGCCCCAGGCACGATGACAACCTCTAATTGCAACACCTTGCATATAAGCAGCACGTCTGAAGCAGACACAATCCATGCCGTATCACATTTGCAGCCACACGCACTATGCACATAGAGACTAAGAGCAGCAGACACACCTCGACACATACAGTATTTATCAAACCCATGCACACCCCTCTCATGCAAACAACAATCAAGCAGACACATGCAGCATCGCAAATAGCCTAGTAGTTGGAGTCCCCTATATCCAAATTAGAGAACAGTGGTAACGCCGTGCAATCACAAATTTGTCCCCGCAAGATGTTCCAACAAGCAATAGAAATTGGTGTTGGAAGATGTTCTTTGTCTTGCGTCTGGAACAGAGAGCGCGTGCTACATGACCTGCACAGTACACCAATGAATCATAGAAACACAACATACGTTCAAAAGTATACCACATGATTTGTTTGTATGCACTGATGGTGTTAGATATTGCGTTAGGGGTTTACAGTTTAGTGCGGAATATGGGATGAAACTAAGAAGTAAAACAAACAAGAGAGCAGACAAAACTGACGCTGACCACATTGATTTCTTAAGACAGTAAATAAGTATTCTTACATGACCATTACGGCGCTGAATGAGTTTGGATGGAGTTGTTGGAATGACAGGTGGCTTGTCCTCTGCAGGGCGCTTCTTGTTGTCGTTTTTAGTTGATACATCCTCCTTCTGTTGCAACAAATAAAACAGGGTATGCACAGGTTTTGGCTTCTCGTCCTCATTCATGAACAGGGTACGTATTATCCATGCTGGCATGCGTAATTGTAAGGGCAGCTGTAGAATATAACAAGTTTGGAATTCATACCTTTACAGTCGAGGAAACAAAAGCTAGTGAATTGATAGTCCTCTGAAAGCCATCTCCTGCTGCCTTTGTTTCCATCTACAATAAGATCATAATCAAGAAAGTTAGACGGAAATAAAATATAAGGGTTAACTCACCAAAGTGCAAGATGTACAACCGCTAAGCACATTTGAACAAATCTGATGATGCTGTGCTCGCACCAGGATAAGCCAACGATTCCCAACCAAGGTTGACAACATTGATTTCTTTGCATCCAGTCCCGCCTGTGTCCATGCTGCGATGCTGAAACCGTCCAGCCCGTCCTTGAGAGCGCTCATGCTTATAGTAGCATGTACACCTGTGCGTGTGAACTTGCCATCTTTCATACGGGTTGATAATCATGGGGAAATATAATTAATAAACGAAGGAGAATAGGAAAACAAACAAATGATCAAACAACAAATAAACTAGGAGCATATTTTGATAGCTTAAAGAGAAATCCTTAGCGAATATGAACATGAACCATACTATATAAAATGCACAATTAGAATGGTATGGGTTTGAAATTGTAACAAACCACAAACAACACCTGTTGGCGGGTTGAAGACAACGACAATGTTGTCGCGCTCGACGGCACTCTCTGATACATGACCCAAGTCACAAAGATAACCATCATTGGAGCAGCACCACCCAACAGGAAAGCCGCACACGTCACTGCTCTCGCACGATGACTTGTACGAGCAGAACCATGCCGTGTTGATACAGGTAGATGTTACGTCCACATTCATTGTGCACGTATTAGCTCGTCCTAATGCTCGGACATTGTTCTCCACTGCTCGCAAACTGAACACGGGATTGTTGTAAAAAATGATACACACATACATATTAATTGCATGGACGTTTTATAAATGTAGAAGCATGTTGTTTAGAACACCACACAAGTAGAGTATAGCGATAATGTAAATGTGAAATGCACTTAAACAAGAACAAAAACAAACGTACGTCGTGACGAGACCGAGGTTAGCGCAATCCAAAGTATCACGCGTCAGACTCTGCTTGATGCGGGCGACAACGACCTTATCCGTAACCTTCATAATCCTGGATCTGAATAAGGGGCGATAAAGAAGTGTATAATAAAGAATAAGAGTTGGTGAATAAGAAATGATGCGACGGTTATATTGATACGCATATCAATGCGGATAGGAGGAATAGGAGAATTACGAGAACCACCTAGAAGAAGTTGACTCACTCTAAGTACGAGTAGAAGAACAATGCAATCTACGTCAGACTACACGCAGACGAACGCTAAGTGTACGTCTAGCAATAGGTGTAACGAGAGAATAATAGTCGATAAAAAATGGTGCACCTCTTCGTAGTTTTGATTTGGCCGTCCTCCTGGTACATCTCTGTAATCCATACAATCACAGGGGTTTTTGTCAGCTCGGTGTTATGCCGCTGCTCTTCCACTATCATCTGAATGCGGTCTGCCATGGAGCCTAATGCAGTTAGGCCGAACGTGCCACTCCTATCACGTAGGATACCCACGACACACGACATCTTGCTGTAAGGATCCACGTCAGAGATGGTTAGCTCCACAATGAACGAGGAAACCTGTTAGTAAAAAAAAAAAAAAAAAAAAAAAAAAAGGAAAACAGGAATGATGGAACTTGTGGTGAATACGTGTAAGAGGTTACCAAGCAATAGTAAAAGTATGATGTTGAGTGGAGAGATAAAAAATGATGGGTAGCAAAATACGTTAGATTACAACTATGACAGAATTGTCGTGGTCGGTTAGTACATAGTATAATGTGACATGCTTACTGACCTGACGGCGCGCGGAATCATCAGAGGAGAAGAGTTCACGCAAGGGAGTAGGAGTGAATGCACTCAAAGGAATGTTGTGGTCCTCAATTGACATGCGTGCATGCGATTTTCTGTGCTCCCAAACAAGCACACCACCCAGCCTACCAACAGACCATCTGAACAGTACATACACATCAGAAGGATGTCAAAATGTAAAGAGTGTTGGAGCTAGTGAATATGGTGCAAAAGAATAGAATCAAATAGTGTAGCGCGCTTGGAACTTTGGCATAGTTAATGAGAAACTTGGTGACAGCTTAGTACACGATGCTATAGGCAAATAGGAATTATGGTGCAAGGTAGAAATTGGAAGGTGGCAAAAGAGAGCAAACAAGACAATGAGCATAGCTTAACAAAAGTGGACAGAATGCATCTAATCCAAATGAAGGTTGCATAAGAAGAGAAATGTAAGAGTTGGATGGGAAAAGAAGAATATAAAATGTGATACACGAGATGATGTGGGAAAGTAGTTGAGTAGATGTTGCTGTACTACACACATTCGCATATGCATGCCATGTGTAGAATGCTTACTTGGGATTCTTGGAGAGCTCGCACTTGACAGAGCATATGTCATAGGTAGCTCCCAGGATGAACTCCCCAAGCGTCTTGTAGCAGTTCTCGGCAGTCCATGGAGCAGGAGGCTTATCTTCGGGCCACATCAGCATCTCCATAACTTCACCGTCAGCGTCCATCAGGTACAGCTTCGTTGGGTAATGTTTCGGCGGGTTTGGGTTCGGGTTTGGGTTCAGTTTCGACTTATCAAGATCGGGAGGTCGAACTCCAATAACCTTGGTGCGCACTGAGAAGTTTAAGGTGGGAAGACCCTTGCGCAATATCTCCACAAGCCTGTTGAAGCTAGTAACCTTAGGCGGCTGCATAGAGTGAGACATAATAAACAAAAACACAAAAGAACGAGAAGATAAAAAAAACATACGGCAATACGAAAACGAATACCAAGTAGATTATGAAGAGCAACAACACAAACATCAAGAAAACGAAGTATTCAGTAAGGCTAGGGATGGAAAAAAAGTGCTGGATAAGAGCAAGTAAATTGGAAAGTAAGAAAACATAAAGAAGGGCTTTGACATTTGGAAAATATGTTTTGACATTTGAGAAGTAGATTTAGACACCTTTGAATTGGGAGCACACACTTAGAAATAGGCTTAGAACACATGGAGTGGGCTAAATAACTTGGAAAAATGGCTCAAAGACTTGGCA